TGCAGGGTTACAGTAGTACAGTGAAATGCTTTTTGGAGGGTCTGTGCAGACTCAATGGGCTGAATGACCTCTTTCCACACTGCAGGGATTCTACAAATCCTGTGGGTCACACTTCCCCTGGTCCTAGCACTAGACAACAATATTTTGCTACTGTCCTCTCTAATCAGTGTTCAGTATTTGTGAACAACAGGCTGTTTTTTTTGGCAAACATCATCATCCCTCTGGCACCAACTCCTTTTTTAGTTCCACATCTCCAGTGGGTGGAAGGAAACTTTGCCCACCCTTTACTCCCTCAGAAAGTTGTATTGCCAGTTCTTTGATCAGGACAGCATGTTCCTGGATCCTTTCTCATTATTCACCTCAGCGGTTTCTGGGCTCAGCTTAGGTGCACTGTGAACCTCAGCGGTATTCAGGAAAGACATTTTCACAATATTTTGTTCCTCCTTAATAAACCATAGTTGGAACAATTACAAATTAAACCAAACTCAAAAGGAAACAAATTTAAATTTCGGGTTGAGAGCACAAATAGGGTTTACTTTACAATTGGAGATTAAAATACAGTATTTAAAGGGATGTAATAAAAATAAAATTCACAACAAACGTACATGAACCCATGGGACAGCTACAAAAAACGTTAGATTGCAAAGTTGTAGGAAAATTACGAAAACTTGAAAGGACCAGGAAATGCTTTCTACAGATATGTTTTCTACACATATTTAATGGAAAAAATTACATTAGGAAGCATGAGAGCTGAAGGTGAAAGAATTAAGCATCTTTTGGCGAGCAAAGGAATGTAGATGATATTTGTGTAAGAATCTGAAAGGGTTAAAGATGGGAAGGGCCTTAAACACCAACCACTGTGAAGATGTCATTTGAGCTTGCTGGGGAGAACAGGTTGGGATCAGAAAGGAGTAAGACCCACCATCTGGGTCTTCCTCATCGTATCTATAATAATATTGATCACACCAGTGTAACTTGTAACAAGTCCTGTAGGCCCCTTCCAGTAAAGAGAATGGTGACAGCAAATTTAGTTTATAGTGAACATTAGCACAGGGAGCTCATGCAACATGGGTGAACAACGGACAGATTGCTCATACAACAGTACTAATTTATTATTTGCCTCAGTTTTCAGAGAGGAGGTGGGTTGTGGAATTATAGAGCTACAAAAGACATAAAAGACACTAGCACTTAAAGTAGATAAGTGAATGGGACCAAATGCTTTACCAGAAAGTATCTTCCCAGAAGTTGGAGAAGTAGTCACAGTTCAGTATCTCTTAGGGAAAAGATGATCCTACTGATGGTCTAGAGAATGAAAAATTTGACCTCTTTCTTGAAAAAAATGACTGGAATAATTCAGGAAATTATGAGTAAGTTAGTTGGATTTCAGTAGCTAGTAAGCTGTAGAATTGATAATAAGGAACAAAAATATTAATTATCAGGGGAAGCAGAGTTAATTGAAGTGCAGAAATGTTGGAGTTCAGTGACTATAATTGAAGCTTCACAGTCTTATCTTTGTGCTCATGCAGCACAATATATTCAAAGCCAGTTCTATCTCTGTTTAACTTTATATAGCAACAACACCACAGAATTTGGAAAATAGATTCATTCCATTCGTGAATGAGGATCCAAAAACATAAAATTAAGATAATCCAAATGAGGATTAAAAGTTGATTAAAAATTGAAAGGGAAGTTGTGATTTTTGTGCTGCAGCATTCTACAATTTTAAACGATAATTTTAAAATTAATATTATTTAACTATTAGCAGCAGCTCCTATTTTGTGATTCACTGTCGGTAGTAAAATATTAGAAAGCAAGAATCTGGTCTTCACTTTTTAGTGAAGTCTCTTGACATAAGTTGCTCTATGATTTTGGCATGAAAACGTTAATACTCAATGAACATTAACGATCAATTGGCATTTTACTGTTCCAAAAGCTGTTATTCTCGATGCCAGGTTTAGACATGCAGTTACAGAATATTGAATATTAGCTTTTCGATAAATACCATTTAAAGCCAAAAGTAAAACTTCTTATTTCAAAAAATCATCTAAAAATTCTTTCATACCTGCAACTGGATGAATTAGTGTGTGGATAGGATAACTGTAATGGATGGAGGTATTTTCAGATGCATAGTAACATCAACAGTCTGAGTTGAGTGTTGGTCAGCTCAGTTGGCTTGGCGACTGGTTTGCGATGCGGAGTGATCCCAACAACTCAGGTTCAATTCCCATACTGGTTGAAGTTACCATGGAAGTCCTACCTTCTCAATCTTGCTCTGTACCTGAGGTGTGGTGACCCTCAGATTAAATCATGAAAAAGCCATTTCTCTCTCATGAGAGAGCAGCCCTATCCAGATGTGACTGAACAAAACAGGCCAGCTCTGCCATTCAAAGTGATCAATGCTGTTGTCACATTTTCTCCATATACCCCTTGATGCCTTTTAATATCTAAAAAATGATCTATCTCTTTCTTGAATATACTCCGTGAGCTGGCCTCCTGCTACCATCTTCTGTGGTAGCGAATTCCACAGGCTGACCACCCTGTAAATGAAGAAATGCTTCTTCGTCTCAGCCCTAAGTGGCCCAACCTATATCTTGAGACTGTGACACCCCCTCCCCACCCCCCAGTTCTGGCCTACCCTACCAGGGAAAACATCCTCCTTGCATCTAGTCTGTCCAGCCAATTTAGAATTTTATGTTTCAATCTTATGAGGTGAAATTGTTTAAACTGGGGCCTGCACTCACTAGAGTTTAAAAGGATGAAAGGGGATAAGATGATTGTTCCTGAGGCCTACATAGGAGTTGTGCAAAGGGACTATGCAGAATTCCTACTGGAGCAGACTCCGTAGAAATTACCAAGATTGAGCCTTGCAATTCCCTTCCTCCTGGAACCTACGATCTCTCTTTATATTTTGTCTTCTGTGTGGATCTCCAAGGTTCACGCACAGCAGTGACTTCATGCTGAGAACAGTGTTGGCACACCAACTGGTGTGTGCCAGCCCTCATGGCAGCTGTGTTAGGCTTAAATATCTAGTCTAACTCCTAGTAGCTATTAACTGACCTCCAATTTAACTCTCACACTCTCAACTGCAACTACATCCCCAGACCATGACCTAATAATTTCTCTCGCCCCAATACATAAAACCCTTGCGACTGGAACCAACATCCTCTTCTCCCCTGACGCATGCACCCACACACTCCAGGTCCCTGTACCACCCCTCATGCCCATGAACTGGCAACCCCTCCTCCACCATTGGACCTAACTACCTTCCTGCTTCCCCCCTCACCATCATCAGAGGACTGCACCCTTGCTGCCCCGTTGCCAGATCTGACCGATCCGCCTCGTTCCAGATCCAACAACTCCCCAAGACCTAACACTATTTCCAAAACCTGAAAACCCCTTGCCCCACGGTGGACCTGACCCCTCTTGCACCTGTGCTGAACATGGTCCCTCCCATGACCCAACACTCTCCAACTGCCACCTGAGAGCCAACAACACACCAGACCCTCCCACTTGTCTGAATTTACCCTACACTTTTTGTCATTTACCTGACTTCTTTGTCACCTTGTAGCCTGGTACCCTACCTGTTTGCTACCCTCTCCTCCTGGCGCCCCTAATTTCTTAGCATCCCACCCTCCCAGCACCCTAACTATACACATTGTTTACATACAAACCTTTCATAAGAGCTGTCAAGTGACTGTCTGTGATGCTGGACTTTTACATTTCAGATTATGTTGTGAAAAAGGTAGCATGGTTTGTCTTCCCCTGCCTTTGCTACACTCCCTGCAAAAATGATCTTGTACTTTCCCTATATTAATGATTTTTAAATTTTCATCTGCATCGGTTATCATTTTGCTGCAAAACATAACAAGTATAATTTCACGATTTCACACTCTGACAAGAAGTGGCAGTCAGAGAGTGTTCATAGTATCTAATGTTAACCAGTTTATTTTAAAAGGTACAAAGCCCAAACTAAAATAGCACAGAAGTATTCTAATGGAATGTGTTAGGTATTTGGCAGCTAAGATCAGAAGAAGCAATTTCTATTCTATAGTTACAGCAATATTTTCCTTTGGTAGATTGTTGCTTGATAGTGCATAACTTGAATATTGCTAAAAAGAGAGAATAGATCCCTGTGTATGAATATACAAAAGGAAGCATAAATGAGTTACTTTCTGAATTCAACTGATTCTCTTAAGTTGGTTGCTGTTGTAAATGCAAGCATAGACAGGATTCTTCAGCAAATGCTGCCCTATTACAGAATCACATCCAATAGAAGACATGTTGGGGATGGGAGTTCGGCAGGGTTTGCAAGCATGGACTGTTTGAGCGGAATCTGTAATCTGCCTATTACAAACAACCAAAGGAACATGATGTTGATTTAATAAGCCAGTTGCTGGGACATGCAGCCTATGTACTTATCCTCACAACAGAACCGAATTTCACACATGACATGGCTGCGTTCTGTGGTAGACAGAACATTTTAAAGTAGTCAGTTGACCCTGTAATATGACTTATTTATGCTTGGTCGCAATGGCATGCATTCATATACGTTCTCTGCTAGCAAAATAATTATGTTTAAGCCTTGCAACATTTTTGAATCACCCAGAACTTGATGAGCCTATAATTCATGGCTACTATCATCATGGAAACACCTCGGTCAATCAGAATCAACTTCCCAGCAAATCAGCAAATGTCTTTTCCAGAAGTATAAATTATTATGCTCATTTGAAATCTGGCTTTCGTGCATTGATCCTGGTGACTGCGGGGAGCAAAGTTTCAGCAATACTTATTTTCCAATAATATTCAAATACTTTTCTTCCAAATTTAACCAGGACAACAATGCTTGAGACTGGGCCACAGTAGAATTGCTTCTCTCTAATTGTAACTTGCATTGCTCTAGGTCTAGATACTAAGCTGTGTAAAAGACTTATTTCTATAATTTGTCTATTAGTTGAAGAAAACAATTGATTTTTAAGAGTTATTTTACTTTTCCTTTCTAGGGCTTGACCATAGAACGACTTGGACGACGATCTCTTCTCATTGGTGGATTTAGTTTGATGTCATTGTCCTATGGGCTGCTCACAATTTCTCTCAATCTACAGGTATTTAAATTTAAATGTCACCTTCATGAAACTTTGGCTATTCCTACACCCCTCCTGTTTGATCCTCTCATTCATATTGTGTTGCCCCGCCGCTATATTTTGAAGGTGATTATTGTCTCTTTTGTTTTCACTTCTCATGTCTTCATGTTTTGGGTTATTTTAGTTTGTGCAAAGTCAATCCGAGCCCCTTTCCAAAAGGTTAACTGAACCTTTTGTAGTCCCCTTGAAATACTGGCACCTTTCTTTGTCAAATGTAAATGCAACTCACTGGAGCACTTAAAGTCAAACTTACAAATCACAGCTAGAGGGTTTGACATGTGAAAATTTCACTTTTCATGGCTCATTGGAAACTTTGACAGCAAACACTGTTGATTTTATCTAACAACACAGAATGTTGTGTTTGTACCAAGCTAAACTCACATTCTGGTGTGTTCCCTGGGCAACCCATTAAGCAATGGCGTATTATCTAAGACTCAGTTGGTAGTAGTCTCAGCTCTGAGTCAGAAGTCCAATGCCAGAACTCAAGACTAAAATTCCAGGCTGACACCCTAGTATAACAATGTAACATTTCAAATAAGGTACTATGCTGACACCCTGTCTGCCCTTTCAGATGTCATGGCACTATTGTAAAGAGTTATCTCTGGTGCCTGGAACAATGTTTGTCCTTCAAGTCAAATCACAAATCCAAATCATCTGATCAGTATTACAATGTGGGAGCCACATGCACAAATTCGTCCCCTATATTAAAATAATGACTACACTTTAAAAATGTTTTGTTGACTGTAAAGCCCTCTGGGACATCCAGAGGAAATGAAAGGCACTGTATAAATGTAAATTTTTCTTTGATCCCTTTGACTTTCTTGAGTAACATGACCTTTGAATAGTACACAAATTTTTACACTTCTTTTCTCATTATAGTGTTTTAAGCTCATTAGGTGACTAATTCAAAGTGAGCATATTAGTACTCTTGACTCATGCACACGCTCAACCACCACTTTTTAGAGTTATGCCCTTTTGATAGAATAGAAAACATGAGGTGAAAAACATAAAACAAACCAGCAGGAGCAGCTGCTAGCAGGTAACAGACAGCTATGGAGAGTCCCCATCAGAGTCCCAAGGACACCGCCATCTACATTGGCCTCAGGAAGAGACTGAGCTTCAAGGGTCATACACAAAGTGTGTACTTGTGCAGTAGCAAAGGTACATCTGTCAGCGGTTCCAGTAGCAGTGTGACCCATTGAAATGATGCTGGAGGAGTCTGTCACAGCTGTAACACAGTTACATCTCAGGCTTTTGAATACATGGCCACCTCCATTGAAAGAGATTGATCATTCTCATCAATAGTCATTTGCAACAGGCCAATGTGTAAGCATTCAACAGTGGCTTCATACTATGGCAGGAACCTTAGAATAATTGATTGCTCAGTCTCATTGCTTCAAATGCAGCCAATCACCCAGTCTTGGTGAACAGGCAATTGCAGGTGCTCCCTGAGATGACAAAGAGAGACAGGGACAAGAGAGTGGGTGATCTAGTGAAGGCATCTTCAGGTCACAACATTTTCCATAGGCTTCCCTGATAGAGCCAGCCACTCTGAATGACTGAGCTGCCCCTGCACTGATGCAAGTGGGATCGCCTTTTACAGGATATTCACAGGCTCCACACCTGAGAAGTCATCTCCATGGCATTTCATCGAAGCATGAACTGAAACCAGCTCAGAGAACACTGGGCTAACTCAACAGGTCTGGCAGCATCTGTGGACAGAGAGTCAGAGTTAACAACTTCTTCTGAACTGAGCTGGCTCCCTCCAAGCTCTGCTGATAACTCGGAGGTAATACCCTGTCAGAGGGCATTCCGAAATATTTTTAGTGTCACTGGGTGTGGGTACCGATTCCAAACTTTGTATCACATGGAAAATATTCACTTCAAGCATGTATTGCTGATAAGTGTCCATGACGTTGTTTATCTCCCATCCCACATTGACCCTGGGTAGATGAAAATGGCAGGGTGGCAGGAGACTCTTGGATGGCAGTAGGAGGTGGGAAATGGCGTCCCTGTTCTTGGCAGCAGTTCGATTTATTCATGGTGGGGAGTTATTGGGTGCAGCTACACTTGGTTCTGAATGGCACAAGTGCAGCGCTACATGGACTCCCCTCAGTTGAAACCTGCCTGAATGAGGGTGCTATGAGTTTCTCTTGTGTGCAGGGCAGTCAGACATTAGAACCTCTAGATGTTTATGTGTCATTAGGCTCCCTCCTTCACCTCATAGGAAGCTAGATGTACCCCCACCTCATCAGGTACTAGAACCATTCCACTTTGAAATGTCAGGTTGAATGAGGCATTGCACCCCATCACTGTGAGGTCCATGTTGAAGGAGATCTTCACATTGGCCAAGGCACCAGAATTGCTTTTTTGGAAAATCACAGCCAAATTTCAGTTGGTACCCCTCATCTCTGTGCAGCAAGGTTATGCAAAAAGGTGAAGAGCTGAGATACCTGTGACTGCTAAAGGATGAAAGAGCTCAAAAAGCTGCCTAGAAACATGGATACTTTCCAGATCTTTTTGAGGTGGGTGAATACCAAATGCTCATTTTAAGAGTAGAATCCCTTCTGATTCATAAAGACAGGCGATTTATTGTGATAGACTACATGACTGCACACCATTAAGTCCTGACCTTATTGAAATCTGTGGCAATACAGGAGTGTAGCAATGCCTTCAGTCTTCTGGCCATGACTCACCACTTTCACATCAAAGGTAATGCACAGTGATGCCATCCCACACAAGGTACGCACCATCTGGCTGAAGCTGATTTGAGCAGGAGATTGTGAGATTCTGCAAGTGTCAGTGGCTGAGCCAGAAGCAAAGAAAATCAAGAACTACACACGTCTTGATCGCCAAAGGCAATAGGTGCTCTACTTACCTTGAGGCTTCCTCCAGGGCACTGGGTACGGATACAAGAGCTGCAGCCTTTGGAGGCAAAGCTGCTGTGAGTGGGCCATGCATTTGACCCGAGACTCTGTGTAGAGGGTAGCATCTTCTTTATGCTGCTGTCCTATGACCAGGTCTTCTGTTCCACTGAGTTGTGTATAAAGCTGTGTCGAATGCTACAGCTGCCGCTTTCCTCGCAGTTACTGTCACTCTGACTACTGGGCTGAAAGACACTGCAGCCCTTCCTCAATGGTCCATCCTCCTTCTGAATATATGCATCTTCTGTCCCTGTGTAAACTCACATGAGAAGAAAAGGTCAGCAGCATTATACAAATGCTCAAGTCTCCTTAATGAAATGGCAACAAGTTACTTATGCTGAAGACTATCTAAAAGATTTGGCCCCTGGGGTTGCTCCCCTCAGTGCCATCTTTTAACTACAGGTGGCCTATGGCTTGCATCTTTATACGACTGATTTGATATTGACTTCTGACCTCAATGACTTCCTTCCATGAACTAGCCTTTTCTAACATAGTTACCAACACAGCATGGCACCCAGGCAGCACTGGAAATAGGCACTGCAAATGTTTTAATGCTTTCGATAGCATTTTCAGTTGCTGGGTTTCTGATTTCACCACCAAGCTGCCCAGGAAAGATGGATTGAGGCAAGACTCCACTTAGAATCATAGAATCCCTACAGTGCAGTAGGAGGCAATTCAGCCCATTCAGTCTGCTATGAAGAGCATCCTATCCCTGAAGCTCATAATCCCACATGGGTTTTTTTAAACCCACCTAGCCGTCACACTACAGACAATTTCCCATAGCTAATCCATCTAACCTGCACATCCCTGATGCTATGGGGCAGTTTACCATGGTCAATCCATCTAACCTGCATGTCTTTGGACTGTCAGAGGAAACTGGAGCAGCCAGAGGAACCCAACACAGATGCGGAGAGATGGTGCAAATTTCACCCAGTCACCCAAGGCTGGAATCAAACCCAGGTCCCTGGTGCTATAAGGTAGCAGTGCTAACTACCATGTCACCCTATTTCTTTGCACTTCTTTACTTTCTTACTGGCTTGTGCACCCTGACCAGGCTCGGAACATTTCCACACAGTATTCATGTACTGTCATCATAAACATATGATTCATGTCCCACTCTAATAAAGCAGTTTCAGTGATTCACTGTGTGTGATTGTTGTTACTACTTATACACTGACAAAGAATCTCAAAATGCAATTGAAGTAATTATCTGTTAATCAATTCATAAATTGACATGGTAATTCAGGAGCCTTGAATCAAGAGGAATGAACATTCATCCTTAAAGGTGCCAGAGCACAAAGGATACTGTTAAAACTGACATAATAGCGTACCACAGAAGTCACTAGTGCGAAGAAGTGCATTTACAAACAAGAAAAGTTCAAAAGTGACAATTTGTTCCAAAAGTTTATTAGAGGCCTTTTACCATTTTAAACTGCATAATAAAAGAACAAATAACTAATCTTTTCTCCATAGATGTTGTCTACAATGTAGCTACTCGATTGATTCATGGTTGCATCTTCTAATGACGCTAACCTCAATAAGATTCACCTTGACTTTTCTCAAAGTAACAAATATCAAGATTTCTCCCAAACCAATATAGGCTTAAACTGGGGCATTAGATTAAGACAATACTAATGTTAATTTTTCCAAGTGCCATTATTCACAATTTGAAGGTATTATTGCACTGTAATTCCTTTCTAAAGACTTAAGGAAAAGTTGTGGCTTAACAAATGATTGATGTCCACTCCATCATCTAACGGGAAGTTATATACTTATTCCACAGGACAAGGTATCCTGGATGCCATATGTGAGTGTGATCTGCATTCTTGCTGTAATAGCATCATTCTGCATTGGTCCAGGTAAAGTTTATTATTATAGAAGGAACCTTTTAGTAACACATAGCAACATTCACTGAATTAATAAGGCATAGTTATTCTGTGCTTTGCATGGTTTTTCATTTTGTTTTGAGGCACGAAATGAAAATATTGCCTGAAACTTCCAGGGTTCTTTTCCAGGCAGGAATCAAAACCTCTCAGGAACTGATGTAGGAGGCTAACAATGGCAATTTTCACCAACATAAAATGTTTCTGCTCCTTCACTGAAATTGGGTGTGCCACTGGGAGAACCCTGTGTTAATTCAGCGTGTACAGTTATGGAATGCAATCATGCCCAATCTGTACAACAAAATGGTGCAACGCTCCTTGGCACAGGCTTTCTCATGTCTCTTAAGATTGACATTTTGTGCAATATACCTCTAGTAAATTGCAAGCCTGGAGATCCTGTGCACTTTAGACATGTGTATAGTGTTATTTTTAAATGCTTTGAATGGATAATATTTCCACCAATGCTTTCGGAACATTTCAAACTTAATTTAAAAGTCCTCAAACCCCTGCACGTCAGTATGAACTCTTACCCATAGACGTCCCTAATTTTGAGAAAGAAAACTTGATTTGGAGTAGGCACAAGGCAAAATATACGCAAAACATCATTTAGTAGGCAGAAAGTTTAACATTACCAGAAAGATAAATTTAATAAAGGTCATTTTCTGAGTATGAGCTGGCGGGAAAGGTGGAAAGGAACTCCTTCTTCTATACTTGGATAAATTATCTCTGATGTTTCTGTCAGAGATCCTACATCATATAAAACCTGGATGCTGGGCACTTGCAAACAATTCTCCAACTATGTGTCTCTGATAATCTTATACATGCACTCTTGATACAAGTTGCGAAAGCAACTTTTGAATTGAACTACAACTTTAAACATATTACTAAGCTACATTATTTGCATGAATAATGGATGCATGCAGTGACACCCAACAAATTAGAGATGGTTCCGAAATCATTCAGAGGAACGCAAATTTAACATCACATTTTTATCTCAATGTCCTCCTTTTGTCACATTACATGAGTAATGTGTGTGTGCCCTTGCAGACAAAGTATTAATTAACATGATGTGATTTGATTTAGTTACGTAACTTCCTCTATATTATATCAAGATAGACCTGTAAGTCCAATGATGTGACCCTATTGTGTACACAATCAAAATATGAGTCATATGTCCACATTTTAACCAAATTGGAAACTAACTTAAATATCCAGATCAAAGAGGCTTTAGCCTTTTATTACTGTCTAAGTATGAATAAATTCAATAGGGATTACCTGTAATTAGTGAGACCACCAACCAAAGCAGGAAGACCCTGGTGGTGTTGTGGGGACAACACTTTTACAGCAAAAGAAATAATTGTTAGGTGTTGAAATGGATCATTTTCAGGTTGGCAAATTGTAACTCGTGAGTGCAACGGGGATAATGCTGGGACCTCGATGACATCATCATAGGAGGTGGTGCTTAAGACATCATTAATGCTTTCAGGTGCTTACACAACATCTTCCTCCAAGCTTTTATTTTCCATTATGATAATTATGAATACAAATGTATATCTCACGCTACATTACCTTCCCCAAAGACTCTGACTTGACAAATTAAGGCAGTCCTAATGTTTCACTATTCTCGCAGAATACGTTCTCTTTAGAAGATTGGTCACTCTCTGGATTGAAGACAGTTGACTTTGATTCTGTTCCTAAACTCCGAAGTGTGAGTTCCAAAAGTCCCTTTAAATTGGAGGTCCTTTCATCTCTTGGATTTCCTTCATGGAGATGAATCTTCTGTTAAACCAGGCACTTTCCTTTTGCAATATCTTGAATCACTGAACCAGAAACTGTCTTCTTTTTGACACTATCCTGTATCTTCAAGCTAGGTAACTCATTCTCAACTAGGTCTTTAACCTGCTGACATCGTTTGCCTCATTTTAGTGGTGTTTTTCATGGAGTTATATGTTCAACTCCTTTGATCTGTGTAAATTGGTTGTCATTCCCAGTCTGCTGGTAAATCTCAAATGTGTAGACTCTTCATTTCATCTTGTTGCTCAATTTAGACAATTTAGCAAGAAGCTGCACTGCGGATGTTACCCAGCATGATAATGAAACGTCTGCAAAACAACAAACCAGCTCGGCGAGACAACCAACCTCAACATCCACAACTCGAACTACAAATCTACTCCAAAACTTTAGACACTTTCTCTTGATGAGTATATATTGTGACATGTTCACATCATCAGTTGTATTATTTGAGTGTTATTTTATGCTTGGTCTGATCTCTGTCACTGGTGCTTGTTGTGATCCAGGGATAGCAAACCGAGCCAAATAAGTCTTGCTATCACTGGATTTGCAACACAGTGAAATTAAAATATTCGATGACCCTTAAAATTACCCAATTGTTCCTGGACTTTACCAAAAAAACAGATCTTGGACACCAAATTTATAACTTTAACAAAAATGAACAACTTGTTATTAATACGAAAACCTTAGCAGTATAAAAGCTAAACAACAAGGTAATTTAATTTATATCTATGATCTAAACTCCGGCTTCTTTGATCCTAAACACCACTCACATACAGGTAGGTAGACCGACAAGAACAGTTAAAGGGTAAACTAAAAAGAAAATAAAAGAATTGTAATTTCTAGTTCAGTTAAACAGTTTCAAATGATGGCTGCCAAGCCTTAATGCAATCCTTGTTGTTGTTCACAGGTTCAACTGTATCTCTAATTTGAAGTCAGTGATGTATGTGAGCAGTTTCAGCAATTCCAGAAATATTTATTTCTTACAGACTCGGATTATTTTCTCAGAACAGTCAACAATTCTCTTAAAGAATAGAAAACCAGACAGAGTAAAACACAATGCAGCCATTTTCCAAAAAAATGATACTTCACCTGACAAAATCAGTTTCTCTGTTTATAAAGTCAATATTCTCTCTGATTGGCTACCTAGCATCAGTTCTCCCTTGATTGACCAACTCAACATCTAACCCAGCTGCCTGCCCTGAGCATAGCAACACTCAAATGACAAATCATCCACATGATTCCTTAGATTAGTAATTCATTTGCATGATCTTCCAGTTGTCAGCAGCAAACATTTGCATTTATTTACTTGTCTTATAGAACATGCAGCTGTTCAATGTTCACTCCTAACTATAGGTGAGAGTCCCTACATGCTGCTGATTTCTCCTGGAAAGAAAAAGAAACGGGTTATTCTGGTTGAACTTTGGTCTCCTCCATTTCTAATGTCTGATTTAAATCTGTCAGTGTTTATTTACCGAGTTGTGTTGCACTTTGAGTTACATCAGTTAAAGACTTGTCAGATAACTCATGTTGACTATATAGTGATTGTAATGAGGTCAGCCAAGTGGACCCATAGAATATGAGTTCCCTGATTGGGGCTATTAATCTGATCCAAACAGGGAGCCCTGGCTGATATAAACAAGATTATCAGACATCCTGTTCACTCTGAGAGATGGCTTTGAGGGAGCCGGACTAGTGTCAAGGACTCTCCACATGTAAATAAAGGGTGACTTGCTGACAGGATACTGGCCTCTGGAGTTATTTCAGAGTATGCTGCATATTGGCTGGTTTACTTCTGTTTCTGCTGATTGTTTCTCATAAACCTTATTGATTCTTGCAATCTGGACTCCCTTCAGTGTTGATTGCGGGCAAAAACATTTCTGGCAATCCAGTATAGTCACAGGTTTCTATGTTGCTGTTCATATTAAACAAATTTTTATGCCAAAATAGCTATCAAGAGATTCTGTCTCCTGTTTGATTTCAAAATGAGTCCAAGGAGACTTATGAAATCTTGTATTGGCAGTCCTCTGACCAGCTATTCATAATTGGCTGTTTCTTTATCAGTAGTTTCTTGACTTTAACTAATGCTCAAGAATAAGAATTCATGATTATGAAAGTTCTGAACTGCCTTACACCTGTTATGTTGCAGAGTTGATTGTAGCATTCATTTTAATCTTAATCTGGATTATGTGGTTATGCTGTCATATGTTACAACTAGTGTTTCGTCAGCCATGGCACACTATCTTATAATATAGTCTCGCTCATCTTTGTAACAAGCTTAAAATAATGAGATACCAATTGACATATACATCCAGTCACCAAAAAGCTAGGTCTATATCACTTTTCCTATTGCAATACCATTGGCTTCTCTTCAATTTAGCCCATTCTTGAACTTCATGAGCTTCTTTGTGCAACCAGCTATTTGATTTCTTGCCACGCTGTGACAGTGCCCTACTTTGGCACCTTTTCTGAAAGTGGCCTATTGTTTTATGGATAAAGAAATTTTTTTGGTACCTGGGCACTGCTTTCCTTGAGATTTCTTTGCTCTCTAGTACTGACAGAGTCTTATTGTCTGGTGATTGTCTTAATATTTATACTACTTTCTTGCATGCTTTTTTTTGCACCTTAAAAACTGATTTGATTCTGTTAGTCCCCTGTAAGGAATGTTGGTTTGCTCCTGTTAGGTTTGATCTGTGCCACTTCTGGACTTAATGCATCATCTGAATATCATTATCCAGAGTCAGAATCTTCTTTTTGACTGTAATAAATCTGACAAAGCTTCATCAACAATCCCAATAACAATTCTGATGGAATTCTGGTGTTAAATGTCCAGAGGCACATTTCTCCACTACAGATCATTAAGGAAATTATCTATGGATTCCCTTGGATGCTGGACTCTGTTAAATCATGCTGTTTCATGAATATTATTTGTTCTGAGATTGGAAGATGAAACCTGACCGCAGCTGTATTTTTATTCACTCGTGGGACGTGGGTGTCACTGGCGGGTCAGCATTTATTACCCATTCCTAGTTGCTCTTGAAAAGATGGTGATGAGCTGCCTTCGTGAACTGCTGCAGTCCATGTGAGACTTTGTAGCAATTGATACAACTGAATGGCTTGCTAGGCCATTTCAGAGCAAGGTTTGAGCATCAACCACATTACTGTGGGTCTGGTGTCAAATGTAG